TCCTACCTTCTCTCCCTGCATGTTCCAGGTGACGACGTAAACACCGACTCGTCTGTCGGGGAAGTGGCGGTCCAGCTCCTCGGCCCCGAGCAAGGCACCGCTTCCCAGCATGCTCCCCTCCAGGAAACTCCTGGGAGAAAACAAAATCAGGATTAGTTTCTGCATCACAGCTGACATCTAACGTGAAAAAAACAAAACAAAAAAAACAATCTGCTGAAACGAAAAGTTTGGATTTTCTCTTTAATAGCTGCTGACAAGAGAAAAACTATCAAGATTTTAGTCTGTGACCCATTTTTGCCTTCATTCCTGTCAAAAATAAGGCTGAGCAAGCATGTTCTCTGATCCATGCTAGTCCCATAACACCACTCTTCCTGCTCAAGATGTTGGCACATAATACATTTGTAAAACCTGAATTTGCAGTGAAACACAGCAGAAACGGAAAACACCATTTTGGTATTTTGCAATTTTTTTTTTCTTTGACATTTTTGCAAAACAACATAAAGATGCAAAAAAGCATTTGAGTTAATGTATTAATTAAGTGTTTGATCGCATAATAAACTAACCTGATCATTTTAAGCATCCATATCAACCCTGCTAAAAGTCATCAGCATCTAATAGCCCTGCTACACCAGGAAGAGAAAGCTACACAAAAGACCCTTAATGCCAACCTGATGGTAATCTGAGCCCGGCACTTATGCGGCGTCCTAAGTCCACCTTACCTGTTTCGCACATCCTGGGGTCTGATGGGGCTTAGCACGCTGTAGATGGACTTCATGGAGTTTACCGAGGTGCTGTCCGACCCCATGTTCTCCAGAAGCCGGCTGTCGCTCAGGTTCCTGTGGAGTCTCTCACCGCCCTTCTCTTTGGCCAGCATGCCATAATCCAAACAATCCCTGTCAATCCTATTAGCTGCCCGTAAAGTGGCTGACGCAAAGTTCCTGTCCAGAGAGGGCAGCGGCCCTATGGGCTGCACTGGAGACAGTCGCGGCTTGGCGGCTCTCCCCCTTTGGTCGTCCAGGACGCTCTGCTGCCTGTACGGCCGAGCTTCGTGCTGCGGCTGCCAGGACTTCCTGTCCTCGAAGACCGGAGATCCCACTGAGAACGCAGGCTGTGGTCTGGAGATGGAGTTCTGCTCATTTCTCTGAGATGTTCGGTCATCTTTGAGAGAGTCTGTGGAGGAACCCGTCTCTGCTCTGTCACTCAGACTCTCCTGGCTGCTTCTCAGTTTCCTGGTCCTCATGCTATCCTCCACAGACACACTTTTGTCAAACTTTGAGGCTTTGGGTATTGATGGAGGGCGAGGCAGATACACAGGGATCTCCCTGTCTGCCTGTCCTTCATCATTGTTCTTGTTGGTAGTTTTTACATCAACAAAAGGAGTTTTGGGGATCTTGCTTTCTACGTTACCATAGTCTCCTTTCCCAGGAGCTTCACAGGGGCAGTTGAGAGTACAGTCCTCTCCATTCTCAGTCATCCTTTCTTCATGTCTGAAACAAGCTGTGGTGAGCCGGAAAAAGCTTTTTCATTGCTATTAAAAGACCTGCAAAGAAACAGAAAGCGTCTCAGTAAAATGTAAAATAAGTTGCCTAGAGGAGCTGAGGTGGCAGAGAATAGGAAAGGTATTGTTGAAATACAGAAGATATGTGGAAGAAGACAATCTGATGAGAGGAAGGTGAAATTAAACTTTATATCTACATGCAGAATACTATTAAAAGCAGAAAATTAATCTTACATCCCCCACCATGACCTACATGGCAGCATCTAAACAGAGATGCTGTTTTCTCAGCAGTCACAGGCAAGGAAATCAGGGCAAACTGGGGGGGAAATCAAAGCAATCCTAGATGTTAAGATTTAAACTAACAAACCTGAACATGTATCCATTGCTACATCAGTTAGGTTTAGATCAGGGATCTCCAGCTTAACAGCTACTGTCCTGAAGTTTTTATATGCATCACTGCTAAATTTGGTGGACTATCTACATTTTGAGATTCCATTTACGTTTGCGGTATTCCGTTATTTAACAATCAAAAACGTTTTCTACATAAATCAAGCGCTTCTGTTTCGTTTTGTACATCCCTAAGAACATAAATTGTTACTTTGGTCTAATAAACTTTCACATGTTACAGATAATTTCATCTGTAACTTTCCCACACAAGTGAACTCTGATTTGCGATTTGAAAACCAAATCCTTAAGCGTAGTATCGCTTTTTATTGTCCTTCCTGTGCAGAATATATTTCAGATGTTGTCATAGCTGACATCGCTACACAATGTCACATTTAGCGGTTAAAAACTCAAATGTTTGACTCAATCAATTAAATCACTGCTGCTAGCGAACAATATTAGCCATCTTACTTCAACAAAAATAAAGTTATTTCTAACTTTAACATATTTTACCACTTTTACGCGTTTTACTTTCTAACCAGAAAGCCTCACAACAAAAGCAACTGTTTCATTTCCACTACTTTATGGACACTGGGTAGCAATTCTGCTGTGGTTAGCAATGCTAAATGCTAACTAATAGCAACAATATATTCTAGCTAGCTGAGCTAAATAACGTTCCTGTTAAATCTTTTTCAGTCGGATTAACATAAAATCTCCGTTTATTTGTGTTGCTTTATTCAACCAAATCGAAATCATAATAATGTAGTGTTACCTTCAGTGAACTGTCAATATCTGAGTAGCAAATTTAAAATTAGCTCTGCGACTTCCCTAGCAACGTCTAACAAAACGGATTTTGTTGCCAAGAAGACATCTCGATTGAGATGTGTCACAGCGCCCCCCTCAGTCAGAAAGTTATATTACAACTGTTCCATCACTACCATAGTCGTTTTTAATTTTCTTAATGAATTTTACAGTCAAAGGTGGGTAGAGTACACACAAACTGTACTCAGGTAAGAGTAGCACTACTTCAACATATTTTGACTCAAGTAAAAGTAAAAAGTAGCTATCTACGAAATCACTAAAGTAAGAGTAAAAAACTAACTGGTCAGGTTGGAGTTAATACTTAAAAATTATGTTATCAGTCAGACAAAAAAAGAGAAAAAAATTGACATGTTCAATGTCAAATTATTTCAATATCTTACGAAACTAAAACTCCCAACAATTTTTTTTTACAGATCAAGATGCTCTGGTGACAATATTTCAAAATGTCACAACAGGCTCAGAAAAAAAAATACAGCAATATACTTAGAGTACAAATAAGAAGTCTCACTTTAACATAACATGTTTTTTCTTCATTCAGTGAAGTTACTTGCAGTAGAGAGAGTATCCTGAAATTTTCCCCCACAGAAATTATTCAAGTATACGTAAATGAGTAACAGTAACTACAGTTATTGTTGCATTTATTCAATAAAAAAAATGTCCAGGGAAACCAGGGAAGACAAAAGTCCAAAAACATCAAATACATTTTTAAAAAGCAGTATTATATGTTTATTCCAAGTCATTTCTCTATTTTCTGTTAAGACTTTCTGATTCATGTGGTTTAATTTTTCTGATCCATGTGGTTTAATTTTAGATCACATTTAATTAATTATGCCTTAATGTCTTTGGAGACGGCAGAACATAATATGTTTATCTCAAACTTGAAACATGAAAACATTTAAATAATTTAGAATATTGCAGAACAGCTACCTTTAACCCAATGTAGAGTCATCCTTAATTTATTTCTGGGATGCATCAATTTAAAACAATTAATACACATGATCAATTTGGTTTATTTTTATAGAGAAAACAAGTGGAGTCTCAATTTAAATTCATTCACACAAATATTCCAATTGATCCTGGTTATCAGTTACTAAACAGGACAGTATTCTCCATTAGTTATTCAAAGTAGATTAAAACCAAATAAAAAAATCTGCTGCTTTAATTTCTACACATAGTATTTTAGTTTTCTTCCATCGTTATAGAACTTTACTACAATTTTTTGTTTATTTTGTATAACACACTCATTGTACCACATTTGACATATTGTGTGGCAGTTTGGGGCAATACATACAAAACAAATTTACAACCATTGTATGTAAAAAAAAATAAATAAATTCAAATACAACATAAAATGGGATACTGGGAACATACAAACCTGTTATTTTTTAAATCAGATGCACTGAAATTCTTGGACCTTGTAACATTTAAAACTGTACAATTCATGTTTAAAGTAAAAAAAAAAAAAACATGATACAAAAAATGTTTTGTGACAGAGAAGGGAGTTATAATTTAAAAAACAATGTATAGAACATTTATCAGTGTGTAATGGATGATAGAAATATAAACCAGCTTAAAAAACTGATTAAAAAGGAGCTTATTGGGAAATATGTTGCATAGGATGGGTGTCTCAAAGACCAAAAATGCTATTACTGATATTAAAAATGTATAAATAATTGTACATTTAAGGATGAGAATGTGAGATGTTAGTGTCATATAATGTGGAAATAATTTAAGTTTATCTGGTGTTTGGAGATTTAAATGTTTGTAAATTGATGATCTTGTATCTTCTGCTCTTTTCAGTTGCATGTCAATTGGGCATGATAATTTGTTTTAACTTTTATTTTCTCTAGTTTTTACTTTTTGTCAGTTTGAAGTAAATAAATAAAAATAAAAAAGAATTGTATTGTGTCGATCTTTTCTTTCAAATTGTTTTACCTTTTAACGGAATCACAAAACTTCCCACACGCTTAGCAACATGCCAAAAGGACTGACTGCACACAGCTCATTATGTCAGGGGGAAACAAAAAAGAGAACGCTGCTGTTGCTGACGTAGGTCACGGTGAATGGACAACGTCAAGGTGAGAGCGCCGATTGTTAACCCCGCCATCCTTTCTGTGACCCGCCGACACTTTTCACGAGAAACAGCCGCTGAATGGATTTCTGAGCTGGCTGGCCCCCCGGGAATGTTGACGACCCTTTCCATATTCTGTGTTTTTCTATGGCATTGTTGCTGGCTCAGGGAGTTTGAACAAAAAGGGGCAGTCTTTGGGTCAAGTATAAAAGGAAAGGGTTAAGCCAGGTAAGGCACAGTTTGGTGCAAGAGAAAGAACAACAGCAGCTCCCGCAGCAGCAAAAGCCGACTGACAACCAAAATGACCTCTTCTGGAATGAACATGATGAGCAGGGTGAGTACCATTCTTTAATTATGTGTTTTGAGGAAAACTTTTTAAAAAATTAAATAAAAACAGCGCGATTAATCACTATGCTCAACTTTGTATACGCTTGAGATGCAAATATGCATGTTTTCAAAATATATATATATATATTTTAAAAATACGTTTTTTGTCTGTTTTCCAGGTTTTCATACAGTTTTTGTTTAAATTTTTAATTTAGAGATGCTAATTCTGACCTGCTTGTGCTTCAAAGGAAGGATAACTCATCGTTGCAATATTTAGTTTAATCAAAACCTCAATCTTAACACTGATTGCACCACTTTGACTCTCCTTGCTCATCTTTTCACTGGCGTTTGCAATGCTGCATTGTTGACCGCAGTACAAGACCATGTAAAGTGCTGCTGTGAGCTAGTGTCTATGGCAAGCCGATTTAACATAAAATCAGTTTCACCGCACTTACATTCCAGATATCTCATATTGGTTTATTACCATAAGTATTAGTAAATGAAGATGTCTCTAACTATGTTTTTGACTAGACCAGATGCTTATTTGAGAAATCTTTATTATGTCAATATAAATTATGTCAAATTTACCATCTGCAATGAACAAGAAATTCTTACATATAAAATGCAATTAGACCAGTCGTAATTAAAATGAATTTTAACAGCCGAAACGTAGAGGAAGCCCAAAAAGAGCTGCAACAAATGTTGATTTATGGCTTAAAGAAACAACTCGAGTTACCCAAATGTGGGCAGAGCACCCAAAAATTGTACTCAAGTAAAAGTAGAACTACTTCAACATATTTTTAGTCAAGTAAAAGTAAGAAGTAGCCATCCAAGAAATTACTCAAATAAGAGTAAAAAAGTATTTGGTAGAAGGTCCACTCAAGAATTGAGTAACTAATCAAATTATTAATCACTTTATATTTAAAAACAAACCAAAATATAAAGTAAAATGGGAATTTTCGTATTAAAATGACAATAATTTACATAAGTAACAAAAAATAAAATCAGGCATAAAAAAAATCTTTCAATTGAAAATTAAAAATTTATGAAACTTCAACAAAACACTGTAAGTGTTTGTGTCTGTTTATGGTGAATTTTTGGTTAAAACATGTTTGTTTTTTATTCAGTGAAGTAGAGAATCCAGAAATTGTACTCAAATAAAAGTATCGATACTTCATAATAAGGATTCAAGGGCTCAAGAAACCTTTGCTTGTTTGCAGCATGAAATTAAGACTCAGGCCCCAGATTAAGAAATGTAATACTTAAATAAAAAATAAGAATAGTAAAGTAATCTTTGTAACACATATATATATCATTTATTATTAATTATTAAACTTACAATATTTAAGTATAATAAGATTACTCAAGTAAAAATGAAAAGTTCAGCGAAGTAAAAATACTAAATGTAATTGAGTAAATGTAGCTAACTCTGGAACTAACCAAAGTCTTTCCGTCTCAGATCGTCTTCTACGAGGACCGGAACTTCCAGGGTCGCTCCTATGAGTGCATGAGCGACTGCCCAGACATGTCATCCTACCTGAGCAGGTGTCACTCCTGCCGGGTGGAGAGAGGCTGCTTCATGGTCTACGACCGCACCAACTACATGGGCAACCAGTACTTCATGAGGAGGGGCGAGTACGCAGACTACATGAGCATGATGGGCATGAGCGACGGCATCCGGTCCTGCCGCATGATCCCCATGGTAACCAACCCCACACTCCCCGCCAGGGGCGTGACTAGAAATTTTTTTAAGGGCCCAAGCACAAACTGTGATAGGGTGGCACAAACTGTTAGGACAATGCTAGCAAAAAAAAAAATAATAATAATCATAATCATAATGTTACTTTAATCTGTGAATATTATGACTTCATTCTCTTAATTTTATGATTTTATTCTCTTACGATATTATTCTCTAAATAGTAATACTTTATACACTGCAAAAGGACAAAATCTCAAATATTTTTTGGTATAGTTCCTAGAGCGAATATCTTAGCACACTTGAACTAAAACCAACTAACTCAAAAGTAACTTTTCAGTACAATATAGAGGCTTGTTTTAAGTAAATAATTCCTCATTATTGCTGAAAATGTATTGTTGCATTGTCAGATTCTATCACTTATAACAAGACATTTTTCCCATTTTATAAGTTAATTTATCTGCCAGTGGAACTGCCGTCACCTAGTTAAAGAACCACATTTCTCTATTATTTTCACTCACGAAATCAAGTTAAAATAATTACTTATTTCACTTTAGAATAACTTAAATCCTTGTTTCAAATTGCATGAACAAAATTTCTGTTCTGATAATGATTTTTATTAAACGTCACAATGAATTCTGATCAGAAAACATTTAGAGAGAACAGGCCATTCTCCTGACCTGTCCAGGATGTACCCCGCCTCTCGCCCGGAACGTTAGCTGGAGATAGGCACCAGCACCCCTCCCGACCCCACTGAGGGACAAGGGTGTTCAGAAAATGGATGGATGGATGGATGGAGGCCATTCTCCTCAAGATGCATTAAAATGAACATTTGCTTTAATAAAATACAAGAGTCAGATCAATGTACTGCACTTTCACCTCAGGATACAGAGACATGCTGCTGAGCATTCTGGGAAATAGTTCCCACTCCTGTCTTTTTATTCTTTCAGGTTTTTTTAGTGCCAACTATAAACTGTAGTTTATTCAACGTTTGGAGGTTTGACCAAATTAATGAAAAGTTAACACAAATTACTGCTGTAAGTTTATTTTTCACAAACTCACATTTAGGTTCAAAATCTAAAACTGGCTCAATTTATTTGACTTAAAGACTTGAAGCTAGTAGACACAACTAAATTCAGTTGAAATGTTTTACAGCGTTGGTCCGGTGTTGTAGTATTCTGAGCTGTAACCCTCTTTTTGTCTCGCTCCACAGTACAGAGGATCCTACAGGATGAGGATCTACGAGAGGGAGAACTTCGGGGGTCAGATGTACGAGATGACGGACGACTGCGACAGCATCATGGACCGCTACCGCATGTCCAACTGCATGTCCTGCAACGTGATGGACGGCCACTGGCTGATGTACGAGCAGCCCCATTACAGAGGCAGGATGATGTACATGAGGCCCGGCGAGTACCGGAGTTTCAGCAACATGGGCTGGAGCGGGATGAGGTGGATGAGCATGAGGCGCATCACCGACTCCTACTACTAAACTCTCTTTGCACTGAATAAAGCTGTCAAAAAATAAACTCCTGCCTGGTTGAAGTCACTGCTTATTTCCAATCAAATTTCAAACTTATTAATGAAAGCATAAGCTTTAAAAGTTTTAGACATGTAAAATATCAAATTTTAAAAAGCATCTATTTATGTGATACAAATTAGGAAAAAAAAGTGAAATGGAAAGAAAACTACACCTGGTTTCAAAATATAAATTAAATTTAAAAGTAGCCGTCCAAGAAACCACTTAAGAGTAAAAATGTATTTGGTAAAATCACTACTCAAAATACTGAGTGTCTGATCTAAACATCAATCATTTAATATTTAAAAATTGCTCAAAAGAGTAAATAAAACACATATTAAATTTTTCATTTCAAAAGGTAAGAGGGCAAAAGGGATCTAGTTTATTTTTTTTTATTTTATTTATTTTAGCATAATCACAAGTAGAGTACAATACAGGTCAAACAAAGACATTTAAACTTACATTCAAATTCATTCAGTTCAGTCAAATTCCTTCCAAATAAATGAACTATTTCCGGTTAAATTTGTTACCTTAACCGGAATCATTTAAGTTCAGTTGGAAACAAAATTGATTCTGTATGAGACAAAATTTGCGAAACAAAAATTAAGATACAAGAAACCGCTTTTAAACCTGCATTGCGTTAAAAGACCACTAGGGGGAGACCAATCAAAAGTATTGCGATAGAAAAGAACTCCAAGTAGAAAATTCTTCTTTTATCACTTGATTTATTACCTCTTTGTCTTCAGACCTTATCCAAAGAGTTTTAATATATTTCCTATTGTTTATTGTTGAGTCTGTGAATAGTGGTCACACTTGGAGAAAAACTGACAATAAAGTGCAAGGTTGCACAAGTCACCACCATGATTTAGTGGTTGTCAGTTTTAACAGCAGCACATTCAGTTTGCAGACAATGCGCAATAAAAAACAAATGATACTGAAAACAGTTTGAAAACCATTGTATCATATTATCATCTTTGTGCTCTTAAATTGAGACAGTGAAATATACCCTTGTTGTTGAGGAAACAATAACTTTACAGTTTGAAACAGATTGTTCTCTGTAGGTATTGTGTTTTTGGACATCATGTGGTTTCAGTAGTCTTCATTTGGGTGTTTCAGATAAAAATCACAAATGGACGTCAAACACCACTTTAATACACAGCATAATCAGTTTCTTTTGACTTCATAATTATGCAGATGACACACAGTTATATATTAGTCTATCGCCAGGGGACTACAGTCAGGTACATATACTTACTAAATGCATC